ATAGGGTCGTTGGAGGACCGAACGTACGTGGGACGCGGGCGGCGGCAGCGGCGGCGGCGGCGGCGGCGGCGGCGGCGGGAGCCGCTTGTCGGGAGACCTCTGGTCGGCGGCCGCGGGCGCGGGGGGCGTCTGTGCCCTGCCGGCTTGTTGCGCGGCGGCCGCCCGGCGGCGGGCGGCGGCGGCGGCGGCGGCGGCGGCGGCGGATCGTTGCCGACGTGTCGCATCTTTGCCGGCAGAGGCGCGGGCGGCTGCACTGTGGGGGGGGTACCGAGCAGTGCACGGCCGCTCCCCTGCTGTGATACACGAGACCCAGGTCCACGCACCCTCCATTTGCATAACCCGCGCCCCAAAACATCAAGACATGCCAGCCCCCTGCTCTCCACGGTGGTCATTGACACACACGTCACATGGTCCCCCCCGCCCTAGCGATATGTCCACCGGGCGCCGCTCCAACAGCACATCGAGCCGCCCGCCGCCCGCCCCGCCAGTGCTCGCGCTCACCTCGCAGACGCGCGCGGCGACCCTCCGCCCTCGCTGCCCTCCCGCTGCGAGTCCTGCAGCAGCGCCGTCCCCTGGGGAAAGGAAGGCACGGCGAGGCAAGGTGAGGGAAGGGAAGGTGAGGCAAGGCAAGGGCAGCTTCTCCACACACACGAGGTGGTGGGGCAAGGGCCAGGCTAGTCCCTCGCGACTCCACGTCTAGATGACAGGAGCCCCGCGGCATTGGAAGTGCAAGGCCCGGTGCGCGTGGGTGGGCGGTGTGAGCGGTGTGAGCGGTGTGCGAGTGAGTGATTGTCTCTGCGTCTGTGTGCTGTGTGCCTCGCCGCCCTCCTCGTCCTCCTCCGACGGGACCTCGGTGTACGAAGGGCCAAACAGCGGCAGCCGAGACCACTGGCAGAGCAGCGCCTAAAAACAAGAGTCAACTAGGCCTCACGGGACATGGATCAGCGGCAGCCGAGACCACTCGCAGAGCAGCGCCGCGCACGCGCAGTCGACGGCCGCGCCGCACGCGCCACGCCGCCGCACCTAGTTAAATTTATTCCGCGATTCGCCGCGCCGAACTCTGAACTGGCCGCACGCGCCGCGCCGCCGCCGCACCCACGCCGAAGTTTCGTCGACGACGAGGCAGAGGCAGACGGCGGAGACGATCGCGAGGCAGCCGCCTGATATGGGGAGATGCGGGGAGATGCGGGGAGATATGAGCTGGCCGCTCTCTGGGGATTCGGCATCTGGAGACGTGGGGAGATATGGGGAGGTATGGGGAGGTATGGGGAGACGTTGGGAGATGTGGGGAGGTATGGGGAGATATGGGGAGGTATGGGGAGATATGGGGAGATGTGGGGAGATGTGGGGAGATATGGGGAGATATGGGGAGGTATGGGGAGGTATGGGGAGACGTGGGGAGATGTGGGGAGGTATGGGGAGATATGGGGAGGTATGGGGAGGGATGCAGATTCGGCATCTACACAAGCGCCGGTGGAGACCATCAGGGTCTCCATCCCCGCCTCCTCGAGCAGCCACCCGCCCACCACAGGCCCAAAGACCTACACGTATGAGTCGCTCCTCGCTGGAACCAGCTATGAATCAGCGGCCCGCCGCCCGCCGCCGGCCCGAAGACCTGCCCGAACCGGTCGATGGAGCCGGCCAGGCCCTGCATCACCCCTTGCTCCACCGGCACGTGCCTGCAGGAGGTTGCGGGAGGTTGCGGGAGGTTGCGGGAGGTTGCGGGAGGTTGCGGGAGGTTGCGGGAGGTTGCGGGAGGTTGCGGGAGGTTGCGGGAGGTTGCGGGAGGTTGCGGGAGATGTGGCCGGAGTGTGTTTGCCTCCGCCCACTACCTCCCGGCTGTCTCTCGGCGGCATCTCGGCGGCATCTGGAGCATCTCAGCTGCATCTCAGCTGCATCTCAGCTGCATCTCGGCTGCCTCTCGGCTGCCTCTCGGCTGCCTCTCGGCTGCCTCCCGGCTGCCTCCCGGCTGCTTCCCGGCTGTGTCTCTCGGCTGCCTCTCGGCTGCCTCTCGGCTGCATCTCGGCGGCATCTCGGCTGCATCTCGGCTGCATCTCGGCTGCATCTCACGAGAAGAGCGTCGAGATGCACGGCACGGCCAGCCCGTACCCCAGCGAGATGAGTCCGAGGCAGGGGACGAGGGAGGCGACCTAATTAATTAACTCGGCGCCCCCTCTTAATTAATTAGATGAGTCCGAGGCAGGGGACGAGGGAGGCGACCGAGGCGACGGCCGCAAGGCCCGCGTAGCCGAGCGATGTGCATGCCATGGCCAGCACGAGCGTGCGCTGCTCGCCCAGGGACCCGTTAATGACGCGCACGAGCACGCCCTGCACGAACATGCCTCCCACGCCCATCGCAGAGACGGCGAGCCCAACCTGAGAGAGGGGTGTGGGGGGGGGGGGGGAGACGGGAGATATGGAGAGACATGGCTCCCACGCCCCATCGCAGAGACCGGCGAACCCAACCTGAGGGACGCGGGCGCCCCAACTGATTCATCCTTCACCCCCCCCCCCCACACACACACACCCACCCACCCACACCTCGCAAAGTCCATCTAGGCCTCGAGATAGGGGGAGATAGGGGGAGATAGGGGGAGATAGGGGGAGATAGGGGGAGATAGGGGGAGACAGGGGGGGAGAGGGGGAGAGAGGGGCACCTCCTTTGGCCCAAAGTCGAGCGCCTCCTCGCACAGGTACGGGAAGTTGGACCTAAAAAGAAGTCTACGATGCCGACACAATTCTTTTTTAGGTAAAGCACAGGTACGGGAAGTTGGACTTGTACGCCGCGAAGGCGAAGCGGAAGAAGAAGTTGAGCGCGAGCAGCGGCACCACGTTGAACTTTGCGAGGTAGCTTAGCCTGCGCGCTGAACACGCCGACATGAGGGCGGGAAGACTTCTCGTCTACCTTGCCAGAGCGCGCACACTAGCGCCTGCGCGCTGAGTACGCCGACATGAGGGCGGGAAGACGGTACTTGTGCAGCGTCTTCAGAGCACCGCGTGAATACGGGGGGGGGGGAGGACTACAGTTGAATACGGCTGAATACGGCCGAGTACGGCGGAGTGCGTGTCCTCTCGAGCGCTGGTTGGAGCACAAGAACACGTCTTCCGCTTCTAGGTGGTACGCGCAGCAGCCACAGGCTGCGCGCGCCGCGGCCACACGGCCCGCAGTTCTCGAGCACCGACGAGCCTTCGTCAAGCAGACACCCGGGGTCGGGGCGGGAGATGCCATCTCGCGCTGTGTGCTCAGATCTCCCCACACCTCCCCCCATCTCCCCCCATCTCCCCAGATCTCCCCACATCTCCCCACATCTCCCCCGATCTGGCGCAGCGTGCTCGCAGCACCGTGTGGAGACGAGGGGTGGGAGGACGGTGAGTACACTCTCTCTTGAGTTCGGCCGAGTAGCGGCGGAGTGCGCGTGCCCTCTGGAGCGCTGGTTGGGAGACATGAATGCGTGCTCCGCCGCGAGATATGGGGAGATACGGGGAGATACGGGGAGATATGTTTCGCTTCTAGGCCGACGATCCTCCGCCGGACGCGAGATATGGGGAGATATGGGGAGATATGGGGAGATATGGGGAGATCTGGGGAGATATGGGGAGATCTAGGGCCGACGATCCTCCGCCGGACGCGACCTCGACGCGAACGTACTTGACGCCGTGGTCGTACTTGTGGCCGCCGGGTCGATGCGCAACGCCAGTGCCTCCTCCTCCACCACCACCACCACCACCGCCGCCGCCGCCGCCACCACCGCCGCCGCCGCCGCCGCCGCCGCCGCCGCCGCTGCCTCCGCCACCTTTGCCGCCTCCGCCGCCGCCGCTTCCGCCCTCGCCCGTCGACCGCTCCATCTGCACTGGGGGCGTGGGGCTGGCTGCCGAGGGCTGCCTGGAGAGGTTTGCCGAAGACGACTGCCGCGAGAGGCGAGAATCGATCAGCCTGTTCACAGCGGGAGGTGTGAAGAGCCGCCGTTCACACCTCACCACCGAGTCGGAGCTGCCGAGGCACTTCTCGTCCGGCTGCCAGAGCGCGCACACTAGAGCCCCGGAGATGAAGATTGCGCAAGCGACCAGCGCGCACACGCGCTTGCCGCCGAGCGCCGTCGCGCCTAGCGGCCGGGGGAGGGGTCGCTGACCTTTGGCCGTCGCGAGGCACCAGCGGCCTGCTCTTTTCACGCGCATCTACGCTCTTGGCGCTGCGCTACGCGTGTTGCGTGCGCAGCGGTGCGGCAGTCAGTCTTGGCTGCAGCGCAGCGGACCTCGGCTGCATCCCGCGCCTTGCAGCAGCGCCGGCGCAAACTCCGAGACATCTCCCCATATCTCCCCATCTCTCCCCAATTCCCGCGCCTTGCAGCAGCGCTGGCGCAAACTCCGAGACATCTCCCCATCTCTCCCCATCTCTCCCCATATCCCGCGCCTTGCAGCAGCGCCGGCGCAAACTCCGAGACATCTCCCCATCTCTCCCCATCTCTCCCCATATCCCGCGCCTTGCAGCAGCGCCGGCGCAAACTCCGAGACATCTCCCCATCTCTCCCCATCTCTCCCCATATCCCGCGCCTTGCAGCAGCGCCGGCGCAAACTCCGAGACGGCGCCGCCAATGAGAGGGCCGAGGATGAGAGCGCCTGCGGGCGTGGCGTCAGGGTTAGGGCTGGGGTTAGGGTTAGGGTCAGGGTTAGGGTTAGGGTTAGGGTTAGGGTCAGGATTAGGGGTAGGCTTAGGGTTGGGCTTAGGGTCAGGGTCAGGGTCAGGGTCAGGGTAGGGTCTGGGATAGGGTTAGGGATAGGGTAGGGTCAGGGTCAGGGTCAGGGTAGGGTCTGGGATAGGGTTAGGGATAGAGCGCCGTTGAGGGTGACACCCATCAGCCCAAAGGTGCCTAAGGCGGACGCGCACGGGCATGCGTCAGCCTCAGCGCGTCGGTGAGGCGAGCATCATGCGGCAGCTTGCTGCCCGTCCGCTTGTCCTTACTGGTAGTGTCAGCAAAGTACGCGCGGAACAGGGCGATCTGGAAGCCGGATCCGGTGATGACGCGCGCGGCGAGCATCATCGGGTAGGAGGAGGAGAGGCCGAGCAGCAGGCAGCCCGCTGCAGACACCAGCAGCGACACGAAGATGACGTTCCGCCGGCCGAGCGAGTCGGAGAGCGCGCCGAGCAGCGGCGAGAGGATCGTCTGGCTCATCCAGGTGGCGGACTGGAGGACGCCGTAGGCGGAGCGGGAGTAGCCCATCTCGCGCACTAGGAAGGGAAGCACCGGCACCAGCACCGTCTGGCCCAGCTGCGCCAGCAGGATGATCATGTACGGCCCGCACATGAACGTCGCCGGCCCGCAGGCGCCGGGGTGCCAGCCCTTGGCGATGCCCATCGGCAGGTGGATGGTGACGGGCACCCATATCTCCTCGGCGCCGCCGCCGGCCGCCATCGCCGCAGGTGGTTCAGCCGACTCGGAGAAACAGCCTCTCGCGGCGTCTCCTTGGTCTGCCTTCCCGGCGTGCACGCGTCGAAGGAAGAATTCTGAACTTCCTTTTTTTGAACACCTCACATGACCCCACACACGGTCTAGTCCGGCCTCGCGGTCGGCGGAGATTGCTAGAGGACGAGCAAGCCTGCTCTAGCCTCGCACGTTGCTTCCTGTCGTCTGTTGTTTGTTGTGCCCTTGTTTGTTTCTCTTGGCACCTTGGAGTGCTGGGGGGGACGACAGGAAGAATGTGGCCCTGAGTTATGTATACGCCAACTCAGGGTTTGTGGCAGCCAGCTGGCTGTGTGTCTTGTAAGCTTGTTTGTGTCTGTGTGTCGTTCGTGCGTGTCGTCATCATCTGTCTCGCGTCCACCCATACCGCGTTGGTGTCCAGTCCGAGCCTGGCTGTTCTTCACCTTTCTACCTACCTACCTTTTTTGAGCAGGTGTGCCGCCGCGCGAGCGACGCTCCGAGATCGCCCGAGATAGCGCGGCGCGGCCCCGAGATCGCCCGAGATAGCGCGAGATCGCCCGAGATCGCGCGGCGCGGCCCGAGGCGAGGTGGATGGGCTGGGAGCGAGGGGGCGGAAGTGTGCAGTGCGCTAGATGGTCAGTCGAGGCGCGTGAGCCGGACTTGTGGGCCGGACGGCTTTCATTTCTCTCTGCGTTGTTGAGCCAGGACTCAACATACTCGTTCTGTCGCCGTAGTGGGTAGGTTCGCTCAGCAGCGAGCGGGAGTGGTCGACAGGGAGAGAGGGAACGGGTCGGGAGTACGTGCACGAGGGGAGAGGGCGATTCAGGTTTGATGCCCAGGGCCGCGCTTGACGTCTACGGCAGAAGGAATGCAGGCGCCCTACGGTTGCTGCACATTGCCAGACAAAACCGTGCCATATGTCTATCGCCTGGAGGTTGGAGGCGACGAGTGGCAGCGGATGGCTCCCATGCCAGGCACCACCGCCCATGGGGGCTACTATGGGGCTGCGGAGGCGAGTGCTGAGGTAGAGGGCAAATGGTGGGTTCGATTTAGAGACGACCAGCAGAATGTTCTTGGGAAGGTCTGGGTTTACGATGGCAGATGGAAAATTGGTGGCAACTACCCTGGAAAAGTAGGAGATCACTATAGCGACGACTATGGCACCAATGGCGAATGGAACTGCGTACAGTTTGCGACGGTGTGAGTGCCTGAAACGAACGAATTTGAAAAACACTAGTGTCGAACCGCGATTCCGACTCACAGTACAATCACGCGGTTCAACACTATTCCGACTCGCGCCTCCGCCTCACTGGCACTATTGTAGCCCTGGCCGGTGCGCGTGTGCAGTTGAAGTTCCGGAGTGAAACCTCGAACGCGTTCTCTCACGGCGACCAAAACATGTCCACCTCAGACGTCAGAGGCACCTCCGGAGGCAGGCCGCCGCACGCCGGCGACACAGCTCCAGCTGTCGAACTGACCCGCAGCTCCTCTCAGAGCGGGAACTGTGTCAAAAGTTGACTGAGGCGGTTGTCAGGAATCATCATACGGATCACATGGTGGCTCTTTCATGACGGGAGACCGCCCGACCACTCCTGGGTGGCACTGCCACCGGTGTCGCTCGACGTCCTGTCGACAGCGTGCCGACAGCGACACAGACCATGTAACTCGCGTCGAGTATCGACCTCTACTGCTTACCCAGCCTTCGAGTGTATCCTGGCTGTGGTCCCACACCCACTGGTGTCCATCTCAGAGACCGCAGGAGGTCATGAGGGTCGATGGGAGTGCCAACCCCACAATGCCTAAAGACCCAGCCCAGTATGGTTATCCTATGCTCTCTTGCGCTATGCCCCGTCGCCTGCCGCGTAATGGAATCCCTTAGGCGCGAAACCCCCCCAAAATAGATCAATAACCAACCTCCGGCGGGCCCCCCCGCTACCATCATAGATAGAGGCTCAAGTGTGACACAAGTCCACACACATCAGACACACATACGACATACAACTCTCACGACACACGGGCACCGGGTGGCGCGGCGGCGGCGGCGGCAGCGGCACGCGCGGGCGGACGGATTCGGACGGGGCGGAGCAGCGACCGCCTGGGCGGCCGCTGCTCTGTCTGCCAGAGCGCGCCGTCTGCGCAGCTCGAGCGCGGTCAGGTGCACAGGGAAGCGTGGCGGCGCGGGGACGCGCGGCGGCAGTGGCGAGCAGGCGAGCGGCCCGCGCGCGGCGAGGCGGACAGGTGAGATCGGCAGAGTCGGTAGCCGCCACTTTCCTGCCTCACAAGGGCGGGGCTGTCCCGGAAAGTGAGAAACGCCGGTATTGGAGAAAACGGCGGTATTGGAGAAAACGGCGCGGAACCCAGCGACGCGCACGGCCGGTGAGGCCGAATTTCTTAAACGGTCTTAAAAGAGGGACGCCCCGTGCCTCGGTGCCTGCAATCTCTTAAATGGCAATTTCAGCCCCCAAATCTCCTCATTTCTTAAAAGGTCTTTAAAAACTCCGGCCCTCAGAACCCTAGGGGTACCCTCTAAGTCCACATGCTGGGGAGTGATCCCACGCCCCGCAGAGCGGCGTCGCGGCGTGTGTGGGGGGCGCGCTCATCTGAAGGGGGGGGGGGGGGGGGATTGTGGCGTACGGCTAAAAAATGCTATGGCCTATGGCTCAGATTTGGTTTCAGGACCACAAAAATCAAAACGGAGAACGGGTCTGGCCACGCAGCCTTCGCTGTGGGGTCATCGTAAAGGTAGCTCATGAGGTAGGTTACGACGATGCGGAGGAGAGACGTGCGGCCCGCACAACACACACGAGCGCGCAAACCTGCGCTGGCTCCAGAGAAGGGAAGCTCCATATCTGGTGCTCCGGCCGGGCACTAGGGCCACGCCGCCTAGTCAACATGCGAGAGGGCGCGCCCGCTCTCCCGGCGCGGGGGTCACGTTTCTGCCGCCTGCGCGGGCTCGTCACAACCGCTGACTGCTCGCGCGCAGGCTCGACTTTTGCGGCGCGCCATCCATGTCGACAACCATAGTGCCGTCCATGTCCATGTCCTGCACCGACGCACCGCGCCCGTGGCCGGCGCCGCAGCAGGCGACGGAGCGGCAGAAGGTCGGGCAGCCCGGCTGCTTGCCGACGCCGCCGTGCACGATCTGGACGGCGATGGCGCTGGGCATGTACAGGAAGAGGAGCGCCGCGCAGAGGAGGAAGCCAAAGCCGCCCGCGACGTAGAGTGTCGCCGAGAGGCTCTCGAGCGAGTCAAGGGCGGCGTCGACGTCAGCGCTCACCCACGCGCAGTCGGAGAGGAGCAGCGCGTCGTCGACGGCGCCGTCGAGCGCGGCGACCAGCGAGCCGGTGAGGGCCCGGAGGTTGGAGCTGGCTGCGTTGAAGGTCTCGGTGAGGATGGCAACCTCGCTCGACACGACCGCGGCATCGGTCTGGAGGTCGTCGATGGTGGCTCTGACTTCGTCGCACATCTGCTTCGCCGTCTTGCCGTATGCGGGTATGACGTTGTCGGTGTATACGGAGTCGCAGGTCGGCCGGGGATCCACCCCGTTGCACAAGATGCCATTGCACGGCTTGCAGCCGCCACACCAACATTCGTCGGCACCACCGCAGGTGTTGTCATCGGCGCAGTAGTCGTTGCCGCTCTGGCCCTCGGCGGGGCAGGGCAGCCCAAAGTCGGCGGGCTCCTTGCCGGCGAGATAGTCCCCAAACTCGTCGACAACGCTCGCCTCAGAGATGTTGAAGCCCTGCGTCACGTCCACCTCGCCGAGCGTCTCGTTGAGCGCGGTGATGTTGGCGCGGATCGTCGCCACGCTAAAGGGCAAGCCAAAGGTGGATAGCAGCACATCGAGCAGGCTGCCCGCGTCTGACGACCAGCACGTCTCGAGCACGGCGTCGGCCAGCCAGCACGAGGCGTCGGCCGAAGCCGTCGTCGGCTCGGACAGTCGGCGGCTGGCCGGCGGCAGCAGGTCATTCGCGAGCGAGCCGAGGGTGGCGAGGTCGAGCCCCTCGGGAAGCTGGATGGTGGGCGGCGCGCTGCCGAGCACGCCGCACACGCTCGTGCCGTTGAAGGTGGAGGCGAAGTCGGTGGGGCCGTCCGCCGTGAGACCGCGCACCACCACGAGCGCGTCGTTTGTGGCGGTGGTTGCGGCGATCAGCAGCGCGCCGGCGATGAAGAGGGCGAAGGCGACGATGCCGGCGCAGACCCACGAGAGGCCGAGGAGCTGGACGCCGCAGCCTGCGCAGCAGCAGCGGCGCTTGTCCTTGGTGAAGGCGGCGGCGGGCGCGGCGACCAGCAGGGAGAGCGTGACGAGGACGAGTGGGAGGATGAAGAGGGCGAGGCCGACAAGGAAGGAGGCGAGATTGAGCGAGATGTCGGTCAGCCCTGCGGGCAAGTCGCTCGGCGGCGGAGGGCCGTCCGGTGTCGGCCAGGCGAGGTTGAGCAAGGCCCCGACGGTGTAGTCGCCGATGGTGGCGCTGCCATAGTCTCCGATCGCGTCGACCGCTTCAGTGACAAAGTCCTCTGCGGCATCGAGCGCCTCGGCCGCCGCAGCCAGGGCATCGTCGACCGAGACGAGCGCCGTGGCCGCCGAGTCCAGCGCCGGAAGAACGTCGTCGTTGAGGTCCTCGCACACGTCCTTGGCCGGCTGGAGGCGGCCGATTAGATCGGCGTAGTCGTCGGCAGGAAGATACTCTTTGAAACCCGCGATGGTTGCGTTGATGTCCCCGAGCGTGTCGCAGGTGCGGACGGCGCCGGTGGAGAGGGAGGAGAGCGTCGCGCTGAAGGTTTGTGCGCTCTCGTTTGCCTGGTCAAAGCTGCTCGCCAGGGTGTTCAGGCTCGACTCTGCGACGCCAACGAGCCCCGCGGTGTCATTCAGAAGCTGATCGGCGGCGCAGGCCGACGCTTGTCCGGCGGGAGAGAGGTCAGAGACTGCGACGACGCCGATCGCGCAGGCGACGAGGATGCAGAGCGAGAGCACCGGGAAGCAGCAGTTGGCCATCAGGCGCGTGGTCCTGCGCGGGCCGTAGAAGTCTCCCGGCGCGCAGCATTTGTGCGCGCGGCAGCGGGCGATCCAGAGCGGAAAACAGCAGACAAGCACCAGCAGCGCGACGGCGAGGCCAGGAATGACGACCGGCAGGAGGTTGGTGCCGTAGGTGCGCAGCACGTCAACCACGTCCGCCTCGCCCTCCTCTGGCAGCAGCTCCTGGAGCGCGACGCGGAACTCTTCGGCGTGCTCAACAGAGACGGCGCGAGAGGTGAGCGTGCTGAGGCGGAGATCCGGCGCAGGGCACATGGCCGCCGACCAGGCATCAACGGGGTAGTCGTCGGAAGAGGAGGAGAGCGGCATGCTGCGCCACGCGGTTGGTGGGTAAGGAGCGCGTCTTGCCGGGTTGAGCACCTCGACCTCGTGGAGTAAGGAGTCACGGTCAGCATGAAAAAAATATCTTTGTTTGCTTTTTTCTGCCGTTGCTTGGGTTGGCTGGGTTCTTTCTTTTGTCTTGTTCTTTTTTCTTTCTTGTAGGTGCGGGTGCACCGGCAGTGGTTTGACGCCCGCATGCATGCCACCACGCGTCGGCGCCTCGCGCTGCCGGGAGGGTGACCGACGGCGGCATGGCGCGCAGAAAGAAGGTGAGCGTCGTGTTGCTGCAGAAGCGCAGGACCTGCATCACCTGCTGCGCCGTGTGGATCTCCTTCGTGTCGCGCAGCTGGAGGATGCCCTCGAGCGGCTTGAGCGCCCTCTCGACCCCTCGCGACGAGCTCCGTCTTCCCTAGGTCGGCCTCCACGGTGGCCGCCGTCAGAGGCAGCCACCATGGATGGAGCGCCGTGGGGGGAACAGAGGAGAATAAAAGAATTTAAACAAGACAACTCTCTTTCACAGCAGACAGGCTCGACACAGGTGCGAACCGGCGCGTGCTAGCACTATCACAGGCACACCACCGGAGCCGCCTAAGCGACTCCGTTAGCGGTTTGTCCGCATCGCGCACTCGTCCCAACCGGGGGCCGCAGACTCGTTCTGCGCGCCAACGGCTGGTGACGCTGTGTTGCCCTTGAGCTAGCCTTCCCCGGTCGCCTAGCCTCTGCGCTGTCTGGCGGACGCCTGTATGCCATGCACGCGGACCACGCTTGCGTGGATACGCGGCTGGCAGGCTGACCCGTGTGCGGGTTAACCCGCGCACGGGGAAGCTTCGCGGGTTCGAGAGTCGCCAATTAAGCAGCGGAGGTGTGCCGAGGGGGACCGGGAGGCGGTAAGCCGTCGTCGCCCGGCGCTGCTTGCAGCACCGTGGCGATGGCGCTAAGAGGTTCCTCTTTTCCGCGCCCCCCCCCGCAAGGCGCGCGATACACAAGTGGCATCCCACCTCGCTCTAAACGACTAGACCGACTCTGTGTGCGACTCTGCGCGCAGTTGCCAGCGGCGGCGGCTCTGTGCGGCCGATGCTCGCCCCACAGGGCCACAACCCACGTAATATTGCTCGCGCGACTTTACGTTTCGTCGAGACTTACGCTCGGCCACTTCGATAATGGTGAATTAATCAAGGTCATCGTTTGTCACCGCTACTGCTGTAGACTTGTCGTTTTAAACGTACCAGCAAACGACACGAGAGATGTGTGGGGTGCAAACGGTGCGGACCACCAACCCCAATGCACGGCCAAATCGATTTGGCCGCCTTCCGTCCCCGTCAATGCTTGCCGCTCGCGTACCCCCCCGCCCCCAAATCGACTGCACTCACAAACATAAAAAACATTTGTCAGCGCAGCTTTACATCAAGCGAGCCTCTACGTCCCCGCGCGCCCCGCCTTGGATGCCGCCCGGTCACGGCTGGAGAGCGCTCAGCTCAGCTCGATGCCGCGCTCCTCGCACACGGTCACCAGCTCAGGCTGCACCTTCTTGCGGCTCTCCTCGAGCTTCTGCCAGAGGCTCACCTCGTTTAGCCAGAGCGTCTGCACGCGGGAGCAGGTGCGAGATGAGCATTGGGCAAAAGGGGCGTGTGGCGAGGGGGCGTCTCGCGCCTTCAAGCTCGGGGCGGCCCCCTCCTTGAGGGCGGCGGCCAGCGCCTTCCCCCAGCAGTGAATGATAGACGCCCAGCCCCCCTTTCGACCGTGCGCCCCCTCTGCGGAATCGTCCTGATGGGGCAGTCCTGACGCAAACTTGAGAGTCCTGACAAGCAAACTTGAGAGTCCTGACAGAAACTTGAGAGTCCTGACAGAAACTTAGAGTCCTGACAGACAAAAGAAATCACGCTGGGCTCGCGCCACTCGGCCGACCATGAAAAGCGCACAAGCAAGAGAGGCGCGGCCATGGTGCAGGCAAGGTTACAGCCGGCAACGTGCATAGGCAGCAAAGCTCGGCCACGACGTCCATGGCCCGCGCGCCCCCGATTTGCCACCGGCAACCTGCAGGCCAGCGCCGAGCAGCGCGGACGGCTGACTGACTGCTGACCGAGGCAGCGCCCACGGCAGGGCCCACGGCAGCGCCCACAGCAGCACCCACGGCAGCACCCACGGCAGCGCACACGGCTTGGCTGGCCATGTCAGCCGCGCAGGGACCCTCCCGCGGGTCCAACCCGAAGCGCTCGACCGCTCGACAGCGCAAGTCGGCTGACGGAGCGAGCCGCATAGCCCTCCAGTGCTCACCGCAGGATCAGGCCTGACCGGCCCACGCTCACGGCCTGGCCTGCCTGTGGACCAGCAAACTCGATGGCTGTACGCGAGGAAAGAGCTGCGTGGCTGGGTCGATACCGTCCCCGTGCGCCCTTTCCCTCAGTGGAGGGCCGTCCCTGCCCTCGGGAGTAACTCGACTGTACACCCCTCCCTACTCTCTAGCTAAGGGCTCTATTCACAGCGGGGACAGTGGTTGTCCTGGCGGAGTCCTGACGGAGTCCTGACAGAGTCCTGACGGAGTCCTGACAGAGTCCTGACAGAGTCCTGACAGAGTCCTGACGGAGTCCTGACAGAGTCCTGACGGAGTCCTGACAGAGTCCTGACGGCCTATTTTGGAGTTTTTCAACTTTGAGGTATTGTAACTATGTGAAGGCACTATGAATGCATCAGTTCTTTGGGAGAGTGCAATCCATTTAGTTATTACCTCCAACTCAAAAAAAGTCTGGTGGCAAACGGGCAATGGGGTCCCTTATGGTGGCCTCTAAGGGTAAGTTGCGGGAGCTCCACAAACCAGGTTCTCTGGCGACTGCGTTGATTGCAGAGGCGACCTGCTCGAGCGTCTCCTTGAACTCCTCCTTCTCGACCCTGCCATCACCGTCCACATCCAGCAACCCGAGCAAGCACCTGACACGGCTTGGACTCCACTCCACGCCAGCTGACCTGAGCGCACCGTCCAGTTCCTGCAAGCTCAGCTTGTCGTCGCCGGTGTCAGCTGAGGCGAACGTTGCGGCTGACTTCCCGTAGCAGCCCGGCGACTGCAGCTGGCGTGCCTGGATGAGCCGGTCGACGGCATCGGCATGCGGCACCTTGAGCAAAGTGAGCTCCGCTTTGAGCGCCTTGACGCTCAGTCGTCCGGTGTCCAGCTCGGCGGCGCGCATGAGTGTTGCCGCGTGAGACGCCGGACAGCGGCAGGAGCCAAACGAGAGCGCAGGGCGTGTCACGAAGGAACGCACGAAACTTCCAAGGTCGCAAAAAGTGGAACCCCCCCCCCCCACCACCACCACACACCACGCGTCCGGGTCCCAGCGGGTTTTCACGTAACAAGTACACACGGCGAGGACGACGACGAGGACACCGGCTCCGAGGAGTATTCCGACGACAGGGCGTCCGACCGCTAGCTGGCTTCAACCATATCTTACCCTTTCTGCCCCCCCCTCCTCCGACCCCCCAGGCTAGATGGAGTAGTCAGATGTAGATTCTGCCCCACACAGCCCCTTACCCCTTCACCCTCGCCTCGCTGCTTGGTGTTTCTGAACACGTAGTCGTCCACGCTGTGGGGGTTGTGTGTGGGTCCTGTGTCTGGGAGGGAGGGAGTGGGGTGCAGGTTGCTCACCCACGGCACCGGGCCGGTGCTTGCACTTTGAATGCCGTGGGGCTCCTGCCCGTGTCCGGGCGTGGAGATGCGAGGGTCGCCCCCCCTTGCCCCACCACTTTGTGTGTGTGGAGACGTTTACCTTACCTTACCTTACTTACCTTAGTACACACCACGTACTCTAGGACGTGTCACGTACGGCTTTAGGACGCACGCAACTTGACCCCCGCAAGGCGCGCGATACACACGTGGTGGTGTGGACCGTCCCTTCGAGACCATACGCCATACCCGTCACGACACCATACCCCTCAAAAAGTTGGAAGCTGAAGCTCGCGCCGCAACGTAGAGCTAGACCTGCTAGAGGGCGCGGTGCGTCCTAAAATCTAAAATCCGAGGATTAAGGATTCAGGCATCGCTTCAGTGAGGCCAAAGTGAGTGTATGGATGTGTGAGAACGGTACGGGACACGAGCGGGAGGCACGCGGACCAACTCGTCGGTGACTCTGCTGCAGGCCACGCCGTTTCAGAATTTTTCTCAGCGTGAGCGAGACGTGGAAGAGTGCCACCGTCGGGTAGGACGGGTCGGCCCGGAGTATCAGAGTAGCCGATGTGAGGCTACCAACCGCACTCCAAGGACCAAGTGCTCCATCCAGAACATAGACGGCACGAGTACTGACTACGACGGTTCCTGAATTCCCCGGCGCCCCTCCCCGCCCGGCGCCCCCCCTCACCCCTCGCCCCTCACCGGCTGGCAGAGCAGCTCCGCGTCCGACTCCGAGTTTGCCACCATCGCGAGCACGTATCCGTGGCACTGCAGCGGCACGCAGAAGCACCCGAGCGTCTTGCCGCGCAGGTCGCGCCGCGCCTGCGGAGCCGCGAAAAGGGGTGTGAACCTGTCGGCAGGTGTGAACGGCGCCTCTTGCCGCGCAGGTCCCCCGCCGCGCCTCCGCCCGCATCGCCGCGCGCTCTGGTGCCATCAGCCAGCTGGCGTACTGCCGGATCACGGACCCGCGGCTCGCGCCTCCCCCCGCATCGAGAACGGGTGAGTGAGTTAATCGATGTGAAGGGGTGAATTAATTTATCAACGCCCCTCCCCCCCCCCTCCCCTCCACCCCCGAGAACGGGCTGATTAGCAAATGGGAACTCAACAACTAGTTGATAATAACGAGCGCGCCTCCCCCCAGCGAGAACGAGTGAACTAGCAAATGCGAATGCAATAACTAATCGATGAAGGAGCGCGCCTCCCCCCATCGAGAACGGGTTCCCCCACCCCCACTTGTGGTGCCCCCCCGACGCGCTCTTCCCCTTCGGCGCCTATTAATTGATGGCAATAGCTCATTACACCTATTAATTAATGGCAATAGCTCTTCCCCTTCGGCGCCGCGTCCGGCCGGCCGACGTACACCTATTAATTAATGCCAATGAACTAGCTCATTAAGCTCTTCCTCGTTGGTGGAGACGGGGGAGGCGTGGGGGGGGTCGGAGACGGAAGCCGAGTCAGAGGCGGCGGCTAGGGCGGAGGTGGGCGGGGCGGTGGCGAGGGAGGAAGCGGCGAGGGAGGAGGCGGCGAACGAGTCCATTCACACCTTGCACTTGTTGTCGTGCAAGTTGACCACGAGGTCCTGATGCGGTAAGTCGACGGGTCAACTAAACTAATCCGGCTGGTGAACTGAATTAAGCGATTACATGGGTCCCCACGACAACCTATCACGGGACCTACCCCCCTTCCCCGGAAACATCGGCGAATCTCGTCGAATCTCGTCGAATCTCGGCGCCGGCATCTCGGCTCGGCCTCGCCTTGATCTCCCTCGGTATCGTCCCCAAGTCAAACCCGCCCGCCTCCTCCTCGCCCTCTGCCCTGCAAGGCAGTGGTGAGACCGCCGCAGCCTCCGCCTCCGCCTCCTCCGCCCTCGCCGCCGCCGCCGCCTCCGCCGCCGCCTCCGCCGCCTCGTGCGCGGCCGACACCTCCTGCCGCAGCGTCTCGACCTAGTTAATCAATCTCGGCAACTGTGAGATTCGTTAATCAGGCCGACCCCCTCTGCCGCAGCGTCTCGACCTAGTTATCCAATCTCGGAAAGTGAGTACTTCGTTAGCCACAGGCCGACCCCCCTCCTGCCGCAGCGTCTACACCCACGAGAACACAACCTCGCCGCCCTCGTACAGCGCGATCAGCTGCTCCACCAGATCGTCCTACAGCCGCAGCCTCCGCGCAATCTCGGGCAATCTCGCGCAATCTGGGGCAATCTCGCGCAATCTCGCGCAATCCCTCGCGTACCTCGGCTGTACCTCGGCTGTATCTCGGCTGTACCTCGGCTGTATCTCGGCGGATCTCGATCTCGGCTGATCTCGGCCTTTGCGGCGCTGCTGAGCGCGGGCGCGTGCAGCACCGGGTGTGGCGGCTCTCGCGACGGGTACCTGGATTAATACGTATTAAAAGTGATCTTGATTAGTTAACTCATCGGGTGCGGCGGCTCTCGCGACGAGTACCTGAATTACTTAATTAATGAGCTTAATTAGCTTAATTAGTCAACTCATCGGGTGCGGCGGCTCTCCCGACACGCACCGTCCAGGCACAAACACCTCCAGCGTCGCCTGCACCGGCGCATTAACTAATGAATCAATGCTGCGCTCAGCAGATGAACTGAACACCCCCCGCGCCGCCTGCAGCGGCGTGCCGAGGCCGAACCGAAACCTGATCAATTAACAAAGTACTGCTAATGACCTTAACTCGTTCATCGATCGTGCCGGAGGCCGAACCGAAACCTGATCAATTAACAAAGTACTGCTAATGACCTTAACTCGTTCATCGATCGTGCCGGAGGCCGAACCGAAACCTGATCAATTCACAAAGTACTGCTAAGGACCTTAACTCGTTCATCGATCGTGCCGGAGGCCGAACCGAAACCTCCACTCACGCGCCGAAACGACCTGCAGCACCACCGACGCCCCGCCGCCGCCCGCCGCCTCGCCGCCCTCCTCCTCCCCGCCGCCGCCGTAGATCGCTCGCAGCGCCTCGAGCTCCTGCGCTGCCGCCTGTGTTCACAGCCAGCCGCGCGTGAAGAGACGCCGTTCACGGCGCCGCGAGAGGAGGAGAGAGAGAGAGAGAGAGAGAGAGAGAGAGAGAGAGAGAGAGAGAGAGAGAGAGAGAGAGAGAGAGCGAGCGAGCGAGCGAGAGAGAGAGAGAGAGAGAGAGAGAGAGAGAGAGAGAGAGAGAGAGAGATCCCCCCCGCGCCGCCCGCCTCTGCATCCTCCGCCTCGCCCCGCCTCGCTGCCTCCCAGAACGCCTCCTCCTCCTCCTCCGTCACCTCCGGCTCCGCCGCCGCCGCCGGCGAGGTTGCAATCTCCCGCGCCGCCGCCGCCGCTTCCGCCGCCGCCGCCGCCTCCGCCCCCTCCGCCGCCGCGCCCGCCGCGCCCCGCCGCTGCCCGCCCTTGCCCTTTCGCCTCGCCGACCCACTCGCAGCCTCCACCTGCGAGGCCGCTAATTATAAAGTTAATTAATGCACCAGGTAATTAGCTAGCCTCCACCTGCGAGCGCTAATTAATTAAGTTAACTTATGCACCCGTTAACTAGTTAGCCTCCACTGGCGCGAACCGCCAACTAGTCTGAGTAATGCAGTGCACCAGTCGATTAGCCACCCTCCACCCGCACCGAACGCCCCGCCGAGCTTCGTCCGAGATTGCGCGAGATTGCCCCCCGAAGCTACCCCAAAGTCCCCCCCCCCCCCCCTCCCCCGCCGCGCCTTGATCAGCCGGCCGCCAAAGTCGGTGCCTGGTTCATGAATCAGTCTCTCGTTAATTAACGAACGTCTCGTTAATTAATCCGCCGGCCGCCAAACTCGGTGCCGTCCAGCGCCGTGGCTGCGGCCGCGGCGGCGGAGGAGCCAAACTGGACGTAGCCGACGTAGCGGCGTTTCCCCTACGTTGTGGTGTGAAGACACCGGGGTTGTGCGTTTACGTGAAGACACCGACATCTGCCTGCGTACCTTAAGGTACGTATGAGCTGACTAGGGGCCCCTACTAGGGGCCGTCCTGAGTGGGGCGCGGTGCTGCCTTCTGGCTGTCGTTGCTGTGACTCTCCCTCTCCCGACGGTCTGTGCTATGTGCGTATGCGGAGAGAGATACGGGGAGACACGGGGAGATACGGGGAGACACGGGGAGATACGGGGAGATACGGGGAGATACGGGGAGATAGGGGGGGAGATTCCGCTTCTAGGGCGTCTCGCCCCCCGCAGGTGCTCTGTCCTGCACTCGACCTCCGTGATCTCGCCGCAGCCGGCAAAAGCCGCCCGGACCTGCCCGTCGCTTGATTCATTAGGTGATGAATGAACTCGTGAATCAATGAAGGCCGTTATGAGAGAACTCGTTACGTAATCAAGGCCGCCCGGGCCTGCTCGGTAGTTGTTTAATCTCATCAACTAAGCGAACTAACTTCTTCATTACTTGCCCATATCTCCCCCAGATCTCCACTTCTAGGGTCGGCGAGCCCATATCTCCCCATATCTCCCCATATCTCCCCATATCTCCCCCAGATCTCCGCTTCTAGGGTCGGCGAGCCCATATCTCCCCATATCTCCCCCGGACCTGCTCGTCCGTCGCAGACCACGGCAAGTTCGCGACGGACACGACGCTGCCCCCCTCCGCACCACCGTTGCCTTCTCGGCTTGCAGCCCCGGCCGACGCAACAACCGCCGCGTGCACCGCCGCCGCCGTTCCTTCCGTTCCTGCTGTTCCCGCCTCCGCCGCCGCCGCCGTCCCCGCCGCCGCCGCCGCCGCCCCCGCCGCCGTTCCTGCCGCCCCCGCCGTTCCTGCCGCCGCCGCCGCCCCCGCCGCCGCCGCCGTTCCTACCCCGGCCGCCGCCGCCGGCCGCGCGAAACGCGTGTGCGGAGGCTCGACCGCATGGGAGTACCTGCAATCAACTTGTTAGTTCATTACTCAATTAGTCAATTAATTACTTAAGCTCTGCCGAATGCGATTGCCTGCAGGCGGCTAATTAGTCAATTAACTCCTTGATTCCTCTCTGGCTCGACCGCAAGCGGGGAGAGATGGGGAGAGATGGGGAGAGATGGGGAGAGAGGGGGAGGTCTTCCGCGCGCCTGCAAGCGGCGCCCTTGCTGCACTGCCCGCTGTCGCGCCACTCGTAGCACGGCTTTGGCTGGTTCCGATGCTTCCTCCGAGGGAGATAGTCCTAATTAATGATTAATTAACTGTTGATTAACTGTTAATTAATGCCGATGCTTCCTCCGAGGGAGAGAGTCCTTGAGCCGTGAGCCAAAATGGCCGTTGGAATCTCCCGCCAGGAGATTGGGATCTCCCGCCAGGAAATTGAAACCTCCCGCCAGGAGATTGCGATCTCCCGCCAGGAGATTGCGATCTCCCGCTCGGTCCCACTCGGCGGTTCCGCCGTAGTACTCGACGAACTCCGACCTGCGGAAGCAGCTCACGAGACATTGAACGCGCTGAAAGAAAGCCGTAGCGCCAAGTTGGATCTGCTGCACCAATCTCTCAGTCTGGGAACTGTCTAGGAATAGTCCACAGGGAAGTGTCTAGGAAGCCGTAATACTCGACGGAAGTCGGGCCTACTGTACCGCTCGCGTCGGCGAATCTCGGCGAATCTCGGCGAATCTCGGCGAATCTCGGCGAATCTCGGCGAATCTCGGCGAATCTCGACGAATCTCGGCGAATCTCGGCGAATCTCGGCGAATCTCGACGAATCTCGGCGAATCTCGGCGAATCTCGAGCCTGCTGTACCACTCTCCGTCATGCGCCTGCCGCCGCTCCTCCGCCGCCGCCGTCTCGGTGTAGGACACCCAATGCCAGTGCGGCTGCGGCTGCTGCGCCAGCTGCTGCTGCTGCTGCTGCGGCTGCGGCTGCTGCTGCGGCTGCGGTTGCTGCTGCTGCGGCGGCTGCTGCGCCAGCTGCCGCGCCATCTGCTGCTGCTGCTGCTGCTGCTGCCGCCACCGCTGCTGCGGCTGCTGCTGAAACGGCAGCGGCGGTGGCGGCGGCGGGGCAAGAGAGGGCGTTGGCGGCGGTGGCGACGACGGAGGTGGCAGCGGCGGCTTGAACGGAACGGAGGCTCCGAGGGCCCTGAGATTGCAATCTCCCCGCGCGAGGTCGCCCGACCGGACAGAGAGGAGAGTTTCGGGCTCGCTCGCTCCGTCGTCTCGTCTGCCACCGCCACGCGTCAAGTAGCCGCTGAACTCGGAGAGCGACACGACCACCTCCGCCTCCTCCTCCTCCTCCGCCTCCTCGCCCCCCTCCGGCTCCTCAGCCGCCCCCCCCTCCTCCTCCTCTACCTCTTCCATCGCCCCTTCCTGCTCCTCCTCCTCCTCCTCCGCCTCGTCCTTCTCCTGCTCCGCCTG